GTGGGGTGGGGTGGGGGTGGAGGGAGCACTTAGGGCTCGTTTGGCATGAGGGAGCACTTAGGGATTGTAGTGTTTTTCAATCCATATAGGAGGATGAGATAACTAATCCCGAAATAATTAATCACGAGATAACTTACTTCTCAACCAAACGACCACTTAAAAAATTTATAATAATTTCACATGCAAAACTTAAATGTAAAGTCAACTTGATGAATTATTTAAACTGCACTAATATTTGATTTTTTGAGGGAGAAAAGTAATCAGAGTTTTGTGGTCCAAAGAATTAAAGAGCTAAAAGATTCCCTATCTATTTTTTTGCAAGTGGCTTTCCTCAAAATATATAATTACCTCTGTCCTTTTTCCTAATTATTTATGCTTTTGATTACACATCAATGACTCAGTTGGCATTAATTTGTTTTCACCCCAAAACTTTTTTTCTTTTGTTTCTTTTTCATTTTCTTTTTTTGGGTAAATGTTGGGTGGAAGGGTGAGGAATGGTTTTCATTTGAGGGATTCTATGAGCAAATACTTACTATTCCAGACCAAAGTAAAAATGACAAAGCTAAGTTGTCCTTGAAGTGATTCCAAAAAAAAAAAAAAATACTATATAGACACTCTTAAAATAATAGCCGAAAAGTATATATAATTCTTTGTATTTGTGTATATACATTCCTGTATGTTATATACAAAAATATACAAATTCTATACACTTTTTCAGTTATCGAACGTAAATAGTTTCAGGCGCAGACGAAAAGTGAAAAAAGCCCTAACTTCGTTTATGCCTTCGATATTTGAAATTTATTGATCCAATTAATCTAGATTAAACTGTGTAGGGTCCATTAAAAGAAGAAAAGTTCGTTACGTGAAGTGTTCTCCATTTCCAACGTTTGAACTCAAGATCTCTGATTAAGGATGAATGCACCTCATTCATCCCACACCACTTAGTGGTAATTGAATCAAGAATTACGATAACACCACTTTGGTGCACACAACATCTCGCATTCACACAGGGTCCGAAGAACGACCCCATCCCCCGCCAAATGTGATATAGGCAGTCTACTATGGTTCAAGCATCGGTTAATTATCCCACGGTTGAACCCGTGACCTATAGATCTACACAGAGACAACTTGACTGTTTCTGAAAATTTAACACTTCACAGATGAGCAAGATTTTATTTATTAGTTGGCTTTTTCCTATTATCCGCCACCAAAAGTCTGATTTTCTATTATCTATTGTTTTATTTTCTTTTTTCTTTATTAGTGGCAGAAACTATGTAATCAAGATTGTGAGATAAGGTACTAAGTTTTACCAAACACCAAGATCGACCATCTAACTTGAAGATAGCTACATGTTTCACCCAACACGAAAACATGATTTCATTGGACTAATGTGTTCTTCAATCCCTTTCCTAAAAGAATCATCATTTATAGCCACAATTATCTATTTATAGCATGAAAATTGTCATAAGTGTACGTCAACCTATTTCTTTCACTACCCTAATCAGCATATTCTATCTATATTATACATATATACATTATGTGACCTACCTATTTATCTTTTGTTTTTACATAGATATATAGTCATACGTCGCTTTTTGAAAATGGTAAAATTGTTTCTGTGTGACCTATAATTACTGGTTCGAGCTATGGAATCAGCTACTGATACTTGTATTAGAACAGACGACGTAATTACCTTACATCCTTATAAGAGAACACTAATAGGTTTACGACAAATATTTCCGACATGTGAAAGAATGAAGAGAACACTAATAGTATATTAGTACTCATTAAAGTAGCTATAGATAAGAGAAACTCTATTATAATCATTTTTTCTACATTCATATGTAACAGCTACGAAATTTGCATGGAATTTTGTACCAACAACATCGACTTCTCATGTCAATTTTGACCAATTGGACAACGTCATTTTCGTTATTGCAAGTTGTTCGTGTAATCGTTACGGAGTGGGAAATGCTTCGCCGTCCTTAATTAGAGATCTCAGATTCGAATTTTGGGTTTGAAGTCGTTGTATACGGTCAAAACGGGCCTACCCGATTTTACTAATTAACCGAGATCAGAGGAATGGATCAAGGGTCAGCCCCATCGCATATCAGACCGAGACACGAGGATAAGGTACCGAATTCGGGATTCGAGGTACCTGTCGAGACCGAGATCAGTAATGATCGAGATCAAACGGGATGGACACCGAACAAGACCGAAGATAGCATAATAACGGAAAGGCGAGATATCCGTGACTAGTCGAATATCATGGCGGAAATCTCGGAACAGATCAAATCAAGGGCGGTTATTTAGCTAATCATGGGATTTCCTTCTGTAATTAGAATTATACCGTAAATAGGATTCCTCTACTATATAAAGAGGGTCTTAACCATTTGTAAACACATTACGTTCACGCATATCAAAGCAATATATCACACTTTTATTTCATGCAAGCTCTGTTGTCTAGTTCATACTTTCACTAGCTTATAATTCAATTGGTTCGAGGGCAATTAGCTCGAGGGCCATAATTGCTCATCACATTGGTTTGCTTTATTTTACCATAATTTCTATCATTAATTCTTATATTTATCGCTTTGTGCCAAGTAAAATCACATATCCTTAAAACCACTTATAAGTTTAATTGTTATCCGATTTTTAGGGTATACAATCGTCTTTGTTAGAACGCTCTACCCCCATTGTAAAAAATTTCGGCAAATTGCATTTAATCGGACTCCAATACGACTACTGAATAGCAGGTGGGAAACAAGAAGTTGTTCGTACTACTAAAAAAATAAGAATTACCAACAGACGAATTCTATAGCTAAACAGTAAAATTCGTCACTAATCCTACTTAGCGACTGATTATAAAAAAAATCTGTTAGCTACGAGCGATTTAGCGACAGATTAGTGATAAAACTAATTTCAAATTTTTTTAGTAGTTATTAGATCTAATAAGCATTCTAGAAAGTTAGATATACCTACTAGCTCTTAGTCATTGACAAATCATGTACACTATATAAATACTTCCTTGTAGAAAAATTGATTAGAAAAAAACTGAAGCTCATTTAAAATGGAATAGTATAAATAATAGTACTTTGCTTGACTTTTTAAGGATATATTATTGAATTTAAGGAACATGAGAATATGCTCCCATCAAGAAACAGCACTGCTGATTGTACTGCCTAATATTTTTCTACAAAACCTTAGGTTATAATGCTTTTAGTGAAGAATAATAGCATGTGCTTGAATTAATATGGGTGTATGAGAGTGGGAAGTTGGAGTGGTTGTTGTGCAAACTTCCATTAATTTATATCGTACAGTTTAACTTTTGCATTATCATTATATTTCAATATGTGTCTTATTGTTTAAGTTACTAATCTTATTATTATGAACATACATTCACTTATAGACAGAGGCGGACGCAAGATTCAACGGTCACTGGGACATCATGACATTTCAATATATATTTATTACTGCTTATAAAGATTGGTACGGAAGCATATACTAATATTTAACTATTTCTCGAAGAGATTTGCAAGTATTATATGAAGTTTTTGCTGAAGTTTCCGGGTGCCGGTTACCCCTCTCCCTATAGTATGAGTTCGCCTTTGCTTATAGATATATTTTAGGTGAACAGATAATGTAAGATATTTTACATTGTCTAGAAGATAAACTCTAGATCTACTCATTCTATTTCTTTTTGAGGGAGGGGTGCTATTTCATTTCTTTTTCTATGTTCAATTATGATGTGTAGTCTTCTATAGAATAGTAGGTGGTAAACTTAGAATAGACCTTTTAATATAATATGCTATTGTATCATATATTAAAGTATGTGTAATTTATATATAAAATGTATTCTTATTACAATATTGGAGATCAAGTTATAACTCCTCTTCCTCTTCCTCTTCCACTGGTTTCCTATTCTTCATCATCTTTCTATTTTCATCCATTTTTCATCCATTTAACCATGGCCTCTCCTTATTTCCTTATCTTGTTTCTCTTTACCATCTCTTTTTTCTTCTTATTTTTTATTCTTTGCTATTTACTAAGACCAAAGTTTTGGTGTAAATGTGAAATTTGCAACTCTTATATTTCAGCTAGTTGGTCTTCTAAATTCACCAATTTATGTGATTGGTATACTCATCTTCTTAAAGAATCTCCAACTAGAACAATTCATATCCATGTTCTTGGCAATACCATCACCGCGAATCCTGAAAACGTCGAGTATATGCTCAAAACAAGATTTGAGAATTTCCCAAAAGGGAAAACTTTTTCTACAATTTTAGGTGATTTTCTTGGTAGAGGTATATTCAATGTTGATGGAGATTTATGGAAATTTCAAAGGAAAATGACTAGTCTTGAACTTGGACGAAATTCAATAAGATCATATGCATTTGAAGTTATACATGATGAGATTCAACAAAGGCTTCTCCCATTATTATCTTGTGTAGCTAAAAAAGATGAGATTTTGGATTTACAAGATGTTTTTAGGAGATTTTCTTTTGATAGTATTTGTAGATTTTCCTTTGGATTAGATCCAAAGTGTTTAGAATTATCTTTACCAATCTCAGAATTTGCTATCTCCTTTGATTTAGCATCACAATTATCAGCTGAAAGAGCATTGAATGTGTCCCCAATTGTTTGGAAGATTAAAAGATTTTTGAATATAGGGAGTGAAAAGAAGCTGAAAAAAGCCATCAAAATGATCAATATACTAGCTCAAGAAGTTATTAGACAAAGGCGAAAATTAGGGTTTTCGAATCATAAAGATCTTTTATCAAGATTCATGGGAACTATAGCCAATGAAACTTACTTGAGAGATATTGTGATTAGCTTTCTTTTAGCTGGTCGTGACACGGTTGCATCTGCATTAACAAGTTTCTTTTGGCTAGTCGCGAGACATCCACAAGTGTTTGAAAAAATTAGGGACGAAGCTGATAAAGTTATTGGTAAAAACCACGAGATCACAAATTGTGAACAATTGAGAGAGCTTCATTATTTACAAGCTGCAGTTTATGAGAGTATGAGACTTTTCCCTCCAATTCAATTTGATTCAAAGTTTTGTTTAGAAGATGATTTTTTACCTAATGGGACTTTTGTCAAGAAAGGAACTAGGGTTACTTATCATCCTTATGCTATGGGAAGAATGGAGGAATTATGGGGTTCTGATTCTTTAGAATTCAAGCCAGAAAGATGGATTAATAAAGACGGTGTCTTTTTTCGAGAAAATCCTTTTAAGTATCCGGTTTTTCAAGCTGGACTTAGGGTTTGTTTGGGGAAAGAAATGGCTCTTGTTGAGATTAAAAGTGTGGCTCTCTCATTCCTCCGACGGTTTCATGTCGAATTAGTTCATCCATCACACCACACCCCTCGATTCTCTCCTGGTCTTACCGCTTCGTTTCGTGGCGGTTTACCAGTGTTTGTATCAGAAAATAGTTCTACTACTAATGCCTGCAGCCTCAAGCAAACTTAATCTTGATTAAAACTTGCTTTTGCTTGTTGACAAATGTAAGTTTTTTCTATTTGTTTTTTTAAATATCATTTTCCCCTTCTTCTTTTTTTGTGGGCAAATTGTACCATTCAATAGGCACAATATTTTCCCCCTTTTTGGCCAAATTGGCTTTTTATGGGATGGCATATCTGATTTCCTTTGATGTGATTCTACTTTCTTATGTAACTTTTCTTTTCCTCACTTATTGTTGTACAAAATTTCTGGCTATCTATATGAAGAAGAAGAAGAAGCTGGTCATTTGGACCATTCTATTTGCAGTCCTTAGTGCATGGATTCAGTTTGGTAAGTAATTAAGTTAATACAGTCCAACATTTATATAACAGTCTTCATTTATCACAATATTTTATTATAACGGATAAGTTTTTCTGGAACCAATATTTTACTTCATCTTATATTATACGTTCTCTATGACAGCCAAAAATGTCGGGACAAATGACGCTATTATGGAGAGGTTTGATTGTAATTATATTACTTATCTTTTCCAGTTGAAGCTTGTGTATAAGTTGTATATATATGTAAACAACCGTGCTAAATAAGCAATCTTCTCTCTAAAACAAGCACTTTTTAAAGGGAGAAAAAAACTACTTTCGGCCTCCTAATAACTTGGCCAAACAGGCTATTAATTTGATCAATTGTTGGAAATTCGCCATATTCCAGCAGTGTACTATTGTTTGATCTCTCTTCAAAATGGGGATTTTAACTTGACAAGCCGAGGTTTTTTCATGACGTCCCATAATGAAAACTTAGAGAGAAAAAGATTGAGTAAATAGCCATAAGATAATTAAAATCTCCACATATATTCAAAATAAAAAGGAGGAATTAGAGAAAAAGTTATTAAAAAAGTTCGACAAATCTCAAAGAGAATAATTATTCGCAAGATTCAATCTTGCTATTAATTATGTCACATGTTAGATTATTATGGTTCAGTTTAAAGTCTAAGGTGAAGTTATTACGACTCACGTGGTCGTTAAGGTGGGGTTTGGAGAAATTACAAAATAGCCACTTTTGACCATTGATATTAGAGTTTTAGCCAATATTTAAAAAGGTATTAGTTGTTAATAATTAGCATTTAACCACTTCTTTTACACGAAAAAAGTTTCGGACAAAAATACCCCCCAACTAAGATACGGAACAAGTCCAACACACTATGCTGGAGTTCAAAAGAATTTCGAAAGTTCTAAAGGCAAAACTCCAGCATCGTATGTTAGAGTTCAAACTCAGTTTCAAACGTGATCCGCAGTATACGATACTAGGATTTTACCTGTATAGAATTGTAGAACTCAAGGAATGAATCTTGATTTTGAACTTATAATTGTTTAAACTCCAATAGTTGTCATGTAGTTCTATCATATTTTAAGTAGGGTACTTTTCTATAAATTTTATCCCCGAATTAAAAATGACTATTTTTAATTATAATTTAAAGGGAAAAGAGTCAAAATTGTCACTCTACTATTGTTTATTGGTTGCTTGTACCACCCGTTACACTTTTCGGCCATTCTCGTCCCTACCGTTAATGAAGTTTGAAAAAATACCCCTAACCCTAACGTTTTGACATTGTGGCAGCTGACCACATCAATTTTATTCAAGTCATCTGCCATGTCAGCGGTCCCACCAAATTAAAACCCCACAATACCCATTTCATTCCCGTCTCCCACCCGTGACCCTTGACCCGTTTGCCCGTTAAATAAATAAGATAGACCCGTCCAAATTAACAGTTCCTTGTCATTTGGTCTGCATTCGTTCGATAGAAACGAGAGAGAAGAGTGTGGAAGGTTCAAAAGAAAATCCTCTTTTTTCAGTGTTTAATGTTGTCCAAGGTACGATTTTTCCCAAAATCTGAACTTTTCTACTAGTTTCATATGCTTGTTGTTTATAAATGAAGCATTTTTGTCTTTGGGTTCGCATTTCTTTTATGTTAAAGTTAGGGTTTTTTGACTATGCTTCGTGGTTTAGGATTTTTCTTGTCTCAGATATGTGATTTGTCATTTAGGGTGTTTCTTTGACTGCATTTTTGCCATTGTTTGTGTTTGCATGTGACTTTCACCTTTATACCCTAATTATTTGTCTGATTCTACTAGTCGGTTAGGGTATATTGGTGGAATTGATGATAGTTGGTACTTATTTTAGAAGACATTTCTCTTGTTTAGGATTTCAAGTATGTGTGGTCCCTTTTGTTTTTTAAAGAAGGGCCGGTTAGGGTTTTTTAACTGAAAAAGGATTTGAGCTATTTGTTAATAGCTGACTTGTTGTTATTTGGTCCCCTGTTTCACCTGCATTTACTTTGAAGATGATGCTCGTGTGGGTCTCTTACATATATATTTTGTCCTTATTTTATTGTGGTGGGACTCTAAGTTTGATACTTTATTATATGGTCCCCCATATGCATGCATGTGTCCGTTTCTTTATCATAGTACCTCATTCAATTTTGTTTCTTTATTCATCTACCTCTGTACATTTTTCTTATTTCCTTTATTTATCAAACTGTTTTGTTTATTCAAGCTTTCCCTTACATGTTTATTTATTATTTCTGTACCTCTTGTCTTTGTTACTTCTTTATGCATTTACTATGGTAGGTTGTAATAACTTTATTCATGGTTACTATGCAGCCTTTTATAGATGGTGCTAGTAGAGTTAGCTTTTTATCATGGTGGGGAATGGAGTAGTAAGCCACACCCGATGTATAAAGAGAAGTATGTGCACATCAATAAAGGTTTTGACTCTGACTTGCTCTCTTATGCTGATTTAGTTGATGAATTTGATACCAAGTTTGGGTATATAGGGGTGCACCAATTAATAGTAAAGGGTCCTGCTGGTAGATATTATGAACTAGATGGGGATGTTGGGATTAGGACTCTATTGGACTTTGTTAATGAACAGTGTAATGTTATTAATTTGTTTGCTGTAGAAGAGTGTGAACCAGCAATTGATGTACCTAATATAGTCACTCACAGTGAGTCACACACAGTAGAAGTTGAAGCTGCTACTGATTGTAGTGATAATGATAGTGAGGAAAATGATTCTGCTACTGATTCTGATTCTCCTGAATTAAGTTCTGATGATTTGGAGAAACTTTTTTTACAAAAAAGGAGGGTCATCAATGATAAGTTAACTGACTATAAAGAGTTAGATAGGTCAATGACATTTAAAGATATACCTGAAGCTACGAAAATGATCAACATGTATTCTCTTGCAAATGGGTATGACTTGCAGCAAGTTAAAAGTGACCTAACAAGGCTTAGGTACATCTGTGTTGGTGACTGCCCCTTTGTTTGCCATATATCTAAGGATTCTTTAGGGGGTGGGGTTAAATTCAAGACTTTAGAGCCTGAGCACACATGTGAACCTGTATTTGAAAATCAAAGAGTTGATGCAAGTACAATAGCTGATTACTTTTAAAAAGGCTTGCAAGATAACCCCAAAATAAGGTTAGAGAGATGAGGGCAAGCTTGAAAGCTGCATTTAATGTAAATATTAGTGAATCTAAGTGCAAAAGGGCAAAGAAAATGATTTTGGAGAAACGTGAAGGTAGTTTTACAGATGAATATAATAAGCTTGTTGCCTATGCCAATGAATTGAAACTTAGCAATCCTGGGAGTGATGTGATAATTAACTTATCAAAAGATGCTCTTGAAGAAGGCAAAATGAGGTTTTTAAGGATGTACATTTGTTTTCAAGCAATGAAGTCTGGGTTTAAGAGTGGTTTGAGACCTTTCATTGGATTGGATGGAACATTTTTGAAAGAGAAGGCTAAAGGTCAGTTGTTGGTGGCTGTTGGTCAAGATTCTGCAAATCATTTTTATCCATTGGCTTGGGCTATTATTGACAAAGAAACAAAACTTACTTGGAAGTGGTTCTTAGGTCACCTACAGACTTCACTAGACCTCAAAATGGGTGAAGGGATCACATTTATATCAGATATGCAGAAGGTATGTACTGTTTATTTGTACTGTTATTTTTAGTTGTTTTGTTGGTTTCTTTGTACTGTTATCTGATGTTATTTACTGACTTTTGTAGGTGTTGATTGACTCAATCCAAACTGTTCTTCCAGAGTCACACTTTAGATTTTGTGTAATACATATAGAAGCAAATTGTTGTAAGAGATGGGGTTCTGGTGAGTTCAAAAAGTTGCTTTGGTGGGCTGCATGGAGTACTTATGAAGAGAACTTCAAAGATCAGATAAAGAATATGAGTCAAGTAGATGATGATGGAAAGAAAGTTGTGGAGGATTTGTTGAAGTATCCACCAAAATGTTGGAGTAGGGCATTCTTTGATACAGTTTGCAAGAACCAGTCTGTAGACAACAACTTGACTGAGTCATTCAATGCATGGATCTTGCAAGCAAGGCACAAGCCAATCATTAATATGCTTGAGGATATTAGAATCAAGGTGATGAATATGATTACTGAACATTAAGTTGAGGTAATGTCATGGGGAAATGAGTACAGTCCTAAAACCATGGAGTTGTACAACCAATTCATAGGATTGCATTTAAGTGTCATGTTAATGGCAGTGTAGATCATGGATATGAGGTGACTGAAAGTAGTGACATGCACATTGTGAATCTGAGATTAAAGATATGTACCTGCAGGGCATGGGATCTTTGTGGCATTCCATGTCCTCATGCAATCTGTGCATTATTGCACAAGAAAGTGGACCATCTAAGTCAGATTCATTGGTACCTTACCAAAGAGACTTATCTCCAAATTTATTCACATAAGTTACAACCAGTAAGAGGAGAAAAGTTCTGGAAAATTGACCCTTCACAATACATGGCTCCACCTCCTTTGGTAAAGATGACTGGGAGACCAAAGGTTAAGAGAACAAGAGAAAAAAATGAGAAAATTCTTAGGCAAGGACAATGGTCTCGGTCAAGGAAAGGGAGGGTAATGACATGTAATAATTGTGGTGAACCTAGACATAATGCTAGAGGGTGTGCAAAGGTAATCAATACCATAACTTTTTCTATTATTCTTTCTGTTTCAATATCTAATCAAAACTTTCTGTCTTACTAACAACATTCTAAAGGAAATCAACCCATTGGAGGAAAGAAGAAGGGAAAGCAGACAAAGAGGAAGAGAACTTTACTTGATGAAGCTGATGATGAACAACCCAGATCTCCCTCTCCTGCACCAGTGCCACAAAAAGCCACTGATGAGGAAATTCCTTTGTCAGCCCCTTAGCCAAGTCAGCCTACTCAAACAAGTCAATCTAGCAACATGTTGTTCATGCCAACCCCTTCAGTGCAGAGGAAAGAATCAAGCTGCAGTGCCTTTCCAGACTTTGACTACCCAGACTTTGACCCTGAGCCTGAGCTTGAGCCTGAAATAGCTATAAGGCCAAGAAGTATCTCTGAGGAAAAGACTAGGCTACAATTGAGGCAACTACAAAGTACAACAATTGGAACAAGGGCAATGAGATTTGTTGGTGATGCCAGTGGTGTGAGTGAGCCATCAAACCTACCATTCTCACCAAAGAAGCTGCAATGGAAGGGAAAAAATGCTATTACTGGTAACCAGCTTAACAGGCAAAGATTGGCCAAGTTGAAAGCAAAGAAGGGTAATGGAAAGAAGCAGACTTAAAGACCTGTTGTTCTAGTGTTCTGGAATGTAGATCAACTAAACTCTATTATGGTTGTATATTTTTGGTTGTGATGTAATTACTATTAGCTAAGTAAACTTGTTAAACTTGTGTGGCTGTTTAGTTAGTGACCTGTTCACTTGGATGTCATGTTATCACCTAGTTGTGAAAGTTTTTGGGGTGATAATGTGACATCCCCTTGTTTGTGGTTTAATGTAGTTTGAATGTTTAGTTGAGAAACTTTATGTCATGTTGTTACTTGTTTGTGTAGGTTTTTGGGGTGATAATGTGACATCCCCTTGTGATGAATGAAATGGGAGTTTATGAATTTAAATATTCCTTTCATTGTTATTCATTGTCCAACTATTAGGTTAATGAATTGTTTAAGTGTTCGTTTATGAGTTATAGATGTTGTCCAATCCCTTAAACATACAATTTGTGAATCTGTCCAAATTTTGTTTAAAAGTTGTTTTGTGAAACTGTCCAGATTTTGACATAACTGGTGTTGTGAAACTGTCCAGATTTTGGACCAAAATGTTGATGTGAAACTGTCCAGATTTTGGCACAAAATATTGTTGTGAAACTGTCCAGATTTTTGACCAAAATGGTGTTGTGAAACTGTCCATATTTTTTGACATAAATGCTATGTTCATCAACCCATAACATCAACTAATAATAAAGCAGGTTCATCACAAAAGAACTGACAACTTCTAAGATTACATTAACTAATATAAGCTCTAATGTAAACGGTTACAAGCTCATATATTGGAATTACATTAACTAATTTTTGACAACTAATATATTGGAATTACATTAACTAAGATTACAAGCTCTAATGTAAACGGTTCAAAACAACATACATAACACCCTCCCTTCCAATTTCAAACGAGAATAAAACTAATAACAAAACATATTCATTAGCATCATCAACAAGATTCACCAACATTCACTTCATCATCGACGCTGCAACAAATCCAACAAAAAGTGCCCATGAGATCATAAGCATCATCCTCGTCTTCAAAACCTTCTCTTCCAATTTCATTACTTTTGCAGCTTCAGCTTTGTGTAGAGCCTCCATGGCAATTAATTCTTCTTCAATTTATCCCTATCATTTTTAATCACTTTCCAAGACGATGTTACATCTTTAGTTGTAATCAAATCACTGTTCAACGAGATTTCATCTTTCCATTCAAAATAACCACAAGAACGATTCTGTCGAAAATAAAAAAACCAGAGAAGAAACTAAGATCGTTATTATTAGACTATAATTTAGAGCAAACAGTTAATAATTTAGATCTTTTGTTATATAATCACTAACCTTAGGCTTCAGACGTTTAAAAAATCGACTTCCAAGGTTTAATGGAGTCGTTGAAGTGAAGTGGTTTGCAAAGATGCCACAACGACACCTAATTTGGGAAGAACAACTTCCTTGCGACATTGAAGATTCAGGAAAAGGATTGGGGTCGTCTGAGCCCTAATTCGTGGGAGACGGGAATGAAATGGGTGTTGTGGGGGTATATGGCAGATGACTTGGATAAAATTGATGTGGTCAGCTGCCACGGTGTCAAAACATTAGGGTTAGGGGTATTTTTTCAAACTTCATTAACAGTAGAGAAGAGAATGGCCGAAAAGTGTAACGGGTGGCACAAACAACCAATAAATAATAGTAGAGGGACAATTTTGACCTTGGCTAAGCTCTATGAACCAACACAAAAAGTAGCTACACTAACTAATTTTCACTAAAGGTGGTGGTCCAATTAGAGCTTTCAATCAAGCATTATGGGCTTGGCTATTTTTGCTATTTATATCCGAAATACAGTCTAGACCAGACTATACTTGTAATCTGTATTTAAAAAGTGGCAATTTTTATACAGAATTTCTAAAAAGTGACTAAACTTTAAATAACATGCCATAATTTGGCCAGTGCACGAAAATTTTACGGGAGAAATTCAAAAATAGCTAGATTTATAAGTGTTCATTCAAAAATAGCCACAGTTTCAAAAGTAATCGAAATTTAGCCACTTTTCATGTGAAGATAAATCTGAACGAAAATACTATTCAAAATCTGGAAAATACTCCAGTATAATATACTGGAGTTCCAGTATAATCTACCGGTCCAACATAATATGCTGGAAGTTCATACACAAGTGCTCTAATCTCCAGTATATTATGTTGGAACTTTCCGCGTGTTGGAGTTCCAGCATAATATGCTAGAAGTTCACACACAGGTGCACCAATCTCTAGTATATTATGCTGAAACTTTCCGTGTTGAAGCAAAATAGTGGCTATTTTTCAATGACTTCTCAAACACTGGCTATTCTTGAATGACCGGTCCGAAAACTGGCTAGCCCGTGCTATTTTTACAAATTTTACTGCCTGAAACCTATGTAGTAAATTGTACAAAATAAATAGCAAAAGGTACAACATAGTCAATTAACGAAATTCCCAGCTTCCCACTTCTCACAAGTCACAGCCCTCGCTATATTAGATACGAGGGTTCGATTCCCAGCAGAGAAAATCCCAAACTCCCTACGCCGTTTTCTCTTTCTCGCGCGCTTTTTTCACTGATTCTCTCCAATTAACGTACATAAACCAAATTACAAAAAAATAAAATCCCAAATCATGGGAATCGGTCCTTCTCCGGCCGCCGAGAAAGTTGCCTGCGAGTCTCCGTCGGGAATTTCAGTCTCATTGTTCGATTATTCAGTAGAGAATCACTTCAAAGCAATGGATACAATTTCTAAGCTCACCGGCGTACCTGAAATTGATGATTCCGATCAAGCTGAGATTAATCGATTAGCTTCCTCCATTACATTCTTAACGTAATTTCAAAAAATTACTTTTGAAATTTTTTCATGTTAAAATTTTTGTTGCTTTTTCGTAATTTTTTTGATCTCGTAACATGCAGAGAATGGAAAGATCTCAAGTACGAAGTAAGAGAAGCTAAATTTGCTTGCGAGAATGAGACTTCTAAAGGAATTGATGTGATTGGCGAAATAAGTTTGCCTCAATTTTCTTCAGCGGAAGTTCCTAAGGTACATTTTGTGAGATATTTTGCTGAATTTTAATTTTTTTTTCCTTTGTGGATTTAGTTTGATGAGATAAGTTTAGTTTATATATTAAGAAAAATAAAATGTTGATTTTAATGCAGAAGCAGTTGGTGAATGAGCAGCCAGTTCCCCGAGAATCGAGGTAGGCAGAGTTATTATTTTATTTTTGTATAATATTGGTATAATATTCATATAGCTGACCCCAACTTGTTCAAGATTGAGGCTTTGTTGTTGTTGTTGTTGTTGTTGTTGTTGTTGTTGTTGTTGTTGCTGTTGCTGCTGCTGCTGTTGCTGTTGTTGTATATTACCTGACATTGCATTTTTGTGGAGCTAATTTTGTTTTCCCCCTAGTTTGCATGTCAGATAAGCCACAAAAGGTTGAGATTTACAGGATTCAGATGTTAAGGGTCAGAGGCGGATGCAGCATTGCAGCATCGAGTTCATCTGAACCCAGCACTTTCCACACGAAGCAAATTTTATGTGTAAAAAGTTCACTAAAAATGCAACAAATAGTAGATATGAACCCTTAACTTTAAAAATACAATGAGTTCAATGTTAAAACCTTAAAGGTTGAACTCATAGAGCTTAAATCCTGGATTTGAAGTTAGTGGAGACCAAATTATGTTAGCGAATTAACTGGTGTTTATGTTTCTCCATTCAGAATGAGCTCATATGAGGGGTCAATGATCTTGCTTTTATGGTTGAAAGTATCAGCTGATTTTGTATCTTGAACTTTCCTTCCAATGCCTATTCCACCATACTGCCAAGAGTAGTATCTAATGGCCATATTTTGAGTGCATCACCACGATGCCCGGAGTAAAAAGAGGAAATATCTGCACCATAGGCGATTTCATCATATATGGAGCTCTTAGTGTACATTGCTATGTCATCAGTCAATAAAAAGTTATCATCTTGGTAAAGATTACGTAGCTTCCACCTAATGGCAGGTAGGCTGATGCATCTGCCCTCTATAGCTTTCTTTCTTTTACTATGTTTAATACCAATCTGTGCCTTTTCCGGTGACCATTTCGACAGCACTGCTGGTGGCGCTATGCCTCTTCTGGTGACAATTCAGCGGCAAAAATTTCATTCCAGTAGTCTTTTCGGCAGCACCACCTCTTTTAACCGCAATTCCAGCCGTTGTTCCTGTGGCTTTTCAATCAAAACAATTCCTTCTGTTGACCGACAAATTTCCGGTCACTGTTTCAGAAGTCTTCTTCTCTCATTGTTCCATAGTACTAGAGTTGGTTATTGAGTCTATTTATTGAACAATGACTTATTAGTAACTGTTCCAAAAAATCTGATTCTTTTTTCTTTCATGCTATCAGGATCTAGGTGTTGGTTATTGAATCCGATGCTGAACACTGAATTTCCAGTCACTGTTTTGAAGAAAAAAGTTTCTTATCCTCCTTCTCGTGGGTACCAATAACAGTAACTTTTGTCTCACGACTGCTGCAAAGAGATAGAAGTTGATTCCATATACTAGACTTCAGAGGCGGAGGTAGCCTTTTGGCTACGGGTTCATCTGAACCCATAACTTTTGACACAGAGTATAGTTATATGTAAAAATTTATTAAAATCTCAACAAATATTAGATATGAACCCATAATTTTAATAGTACAATGAGTTCAATAATGAGAATCTTAAAAGTTGAACCTATTTAATTTGAATCTTGGATCTGCTTCTGCTAGACTTCACTTTCTAGTAATTTGCAAATTTAAGTTGTTTCACCGTATTGAGTTTGGGGGAGCATGTTGAAATTCAAGCGAATTAATGATATTATATGTATCTAAATTGACAAAAAAGTGGACTTAAGCATGATGATATGGATATATCATAATATTCTCTAAAGATACTTTAGAATATTTTGCTTTCAATTAATATTTCATAACTAGGATACCGTAGAATATTCAGCATTGATAAGTATTTACTCACTTTGTTAGGAGTAGAGTATAACTTCTGACTACATTGCATATAACCTTAAACTTCTACATAAGGAGCTCTTCTTGTAGATTATATTTAATGAGTCAATAAAAGTGTTCTCTCTTCTTCCCTCTCTTTTCACAGGTATAATTAAGTATTCTTTCCATTGTGTGTGGTAGGACTGGTGTTATTCTTTTCCTCACTGTTTTTTTGTTCAGTGTGTGGCAACTAGCTCAAGCTATTCTATAAAGTTTATATGGCAGATGGTTTATTAGAGGCATTTATTCTGGTTTGGTACGTGTGTGCGTGCTTCCATGTTCTCATGATTGTTCTGTGATAGAGTGTCCTTGTGATCTCTTAAATTTTTGGACAAGACTTCGATGTGTTTTTGGTTATACATTGATCAATTTATTATAGATTGGTTTCCGAAATACTTTAGACTGTATTCTACATTGTATCTTTTGCAGCAAAGACTTTGTAATGTATGTTGGAGGTCTAGTGTGGGGAATGGACTGGTGTCCCCGAGCTTATGAAAATAGGGATGCTCCTATCAATAGTGAGGTACCTCTCTTATAAATCTACTTTTTTTATCCTTTCTTTATCTTCCTTAAAAAAACTGAGATGTCAAATGGATAAGTCTGTGCCATCTCCAATTCCTTTTCAGGTACCTTCTCTTTTGGTCTAGAGAGAATACTAATTGCTTCTACTTATACATGACTTCTATGTCCAGTATGAATTGTATAATGGAATCTGTCACTGAAACTTGACTATTCTGAGCACACATTCCGCATTCATCATTGTTTATTTGAGATGCAATTGGTTTCTAGGAAGAATGAAAGCTAATCTTGATTTGTCAAGAAACATGTTAAGGTAACAATGTAATAGAAAATTTGGATAAAGAGCAGGGAACAAATGAAAGATCCTATCTTCGAGTTACAGTATCAGAGCGATTTTTTGCTTACTGCAGCATTTGTCGCTGAATTGTTTGATTCTTCTTTTCTTTAATTGTTTTAAAAAGCTTTATGGAAATGCAGCTGTTTTCGGTGTGTCATTTAATACATTGGTTTAGTCATCAAGGGTTATAATATCTGGAGCAGTCTTATCTCCCCAATGGAGTATCATAGAGAGGGGGAAGGAAATGAAATCAACTTAATCAGTGAAACGTAATTATTTTGGGTTCCATTTTATACTTACCCTGTTACAGAGTGTCTCGTGTTTGATTTGCTTTATCGAGAAAGATCATGTATTTATTTGCTCTTCTTTTAGCTATATCAAACACGCTTACTCAGATATGATCCATATTGATTTCTTGCTTGTCAATTGATTCTGTAGTTTGTCGCAATTGCTTCTTATCCTCCTGATTCATCATACAGCAAGATTGGTGCCCCACTTACAGGCAGAGGTGTAATTCAGATATGGTGTCTGTTAGATCTCATTCAAAAAGATTTAATTTTGAAAGAAGATTTGTTAGCTCAGGTTAACAAAAAGAGAAATCGAAATTTGACAAAAAGTGAAGCAGATAAGGGAGAAACATCTGGACCTCGAAAACCAAGAGGAAGACCGAGAAAGAAACCTATAACTGAATCTCTAGGTGATAGAGATTGTGATGACCACAATTTACAACCTCTTGCTATAGAGTACCCGCAGCAATCAACAGAACTTTCTGTAGATTTGTCTTGTGAAAATACGAAGAAAGCCCGAGAAGATTTGGGGCAAAATCAAGAAAGATCCATTGTTGTGGCATCTCTAGATTCTCAGCTTACTGCTTCAAATAGGAGAGGCATGAGAAACAAGGCAAGATCAAAAGGTCAAACCGAGAATTCTGGTGTGATTCCGCTAACACACTATATTGCTGAAGAGTCTCCAGTTGTGAGTTCCCAGACATATGCTAGCAGTGGTCTTGTTTCAGCTGGGTCTAATAAGAGTGGTGCCACCACAACGAAAAGAAAGAAAGATAAAGAAATGACGGAAAACCAAACCCATGATTCTTCCTCGGCTTTGCTAACACAAGATGTGGATAAAGAATCTCTCAACATGTCCCAAACACCTGATAGCCATGGCATTGTTTCATCACAGTTTGATGAGAATGGTTCTCATGTAATTCAACAAATACCAACAGATGTTTCTCTACCTAGAATGGTATTATGTTTAGCTCACAATGGAAAAGTAGCAAGGGATGTTAAATGGAGGCCTTTAAATCACTGGGATGTCTCCAGACATAGAATGGGTTATCTTGCTGTGATATTGGGAAATGGAGCTTTAGAAGTGTAAGTTCTCCCTTTAAACATTTTGCACCTGTGTTAAACTTTCATGGATAATCTTTATTTTGCTCTGCATTCCTGGTGTGATTTAGAATAGAATGAATCCACTTGATGCAATCCAAACCCATTGACTGTGAAAGTCACAGAATAGACTTGATAGCTTTGGAAAGTTGCAATTTCAATTGACAAAGTTAATATTACTAAAGAGAAATATGTTTATGAATTTCAATTTAAATACTACAGTATACTTTCTTGGTACTGTTCTTTTAATACAAGTACTTTACCTTTAAAGAAAATAATACTACAGTGGGCCATAAAATTCGGACTAGAGTTCCTAACTGCAGAGTCTATGGGCTAGAATTGGTGTGGGCTTGACTTATTCTATTGCAGTTTCAATTGATTAATCAACTAAGACGCATGGATGTTGAATAGCACCAAGGAGGCTCAGCTTGGAGTAGTTTCTCAAATGTTTAAGGCCTAAAAATTATTAGCTTGAGAAATCACTTCGATTCAGTTACACCTCCACTTTCTCCATTAAGTGAACCAATTTATTAATCATACATGGAAGTATATGTCTTCCTGACGTATGTTGTTGTTACTGTTCCATTGCCTCTTTTTCATCTCCTTGTGCCGAGGGTCTTTCGGAAACAGCCTCTCTACCCCCTAGGGTAGAGGTAAGGTCTGCGTACATACTACGCTCCCCAGACTCCACATGTGGGATTATACTAGGTTGTTGTTGTTGTTGTTGTTGTTGTTGTATACATGGAAGTATAGTCAGTAATGATTGTCTTCATAACTTGTATAGTCAGTCATGATTATTTTCATACCTTGTGTAGTCAGTCATGATTGTTCTCACACCTTGTTCTTTCTCGTTATTACTTCTTTTAGTTTCGTACAGCTTCTTGCATTGCATCTTTCTCCCACCATAAGTACACTGGTCTTCAATATTGTGCGATTCTGCAATCTTCATAACCCTCATTATCTAATGCAGGTGGGAGGTTCCTTTTCCTCATATAATTAAAGTTTTTTATCCTTCTGTTCAAAAGAAGGGTACTGACCCTCGTTTCTTGAAATTGCAACCTGTATTCAGATGTTCAATGCTGAAGTGTGGTGATCGGCAGAGGTAGTAGTTCAATTGTTCTTTCTATTCTGTTTGATGATTAAAAATGAATTTGCTGTGACATATTTACTATGATTTGACAATATGATTTCTTAAGAAGTTTTACTTTCTGCATTTGCATTTCATTCTTTATGAGTTGTAGACTAGTTAATGATCCTTGTCTTGATGAAGCTGGGATTATGTGTCACGTGGTGAACTAAGATCAGGAAAATGCCTGGTATAGTACCATTCGAATAGATTTTCATTATTCAGCATAGTGTGAATGGATATGGGTTGTAGACTTCAAAGTTGGCACTTAGATTAGTATTCAACTTCACAGTAGACGAGCAGCATTTTTCCGTATTAGTTGAGCTTTCTGTGCTATTAACTTTGTCATCTTTGATATGTGCATAACCACACCTGCTAGTACTCTTCCATTCCCATAACTTTCATCTTATAAAGCCTGTATTGGGTATTGGGCATAGCTTCTTAATTTTGGAATTGCCCATATTACAAGTTTAATTTTGTCCTGAGAATGCAACTTGTTTATTACTATAAAGCTTATTTCATTTTCTCCTTCATATGATCTTTCATTCTTTCTTAAATTAACCTCTCTTGTTGTTTCCATCTCTCTTGTAGCATTCCCTTAACAGTGGAGTGGTCTGCTTCACCTCCGCATGATATGATTCTCGCTGGATATCATGATGGAGTGGTACTGGTTCTAATTTAATTTTTTTGTTAACCTTTGCTTTTTCAAAGTAGTTCTAGAGGCAACGGTGTATTCTGTCTGGACCCCAGTACCTGTTTCATATCTCAAATTTAGAGTCAGTTTGTCCGATATGTCTTGCACTTATTTCATACACTTGAAGCGATGCTGCTGCAAGTATAATAATCTCGTCATCTCTAACCAATATCCTGTTCATTTTAAAATGAGTTCTGAGCACTTACAAAAGGTCGAGAGTTAGGGACAAGTTCACTGGACTTTTATTCCTCTTATAGCACTGTTAAACTAATAGGTGCTTTTGGATAGGTTGCCTTGTGGAAGTTTTCAGCCAATAATTCATCTAAAGGTATTAATTACCCTCTATTGCGTTTTTCGTTGGTTTCATGAGATTCAACTTAATGAGGTGGCTATTTTGTTCGCGTATTCCTGTTTTTACTTTTTCTAGTTCAGGTCATGTATGCAACATGACTTTAATGCTGTTTTATGCTTAAAGTTTGAATCCTTCTTAAAAGACTTTTCTCAAGTCATATTATCACTATACCTCCTTGGTTAATGCTTTTTGTACAATTGTGATTTCACGTTACCGTCGTTTTGCCTGCAGACACAAGGCCTTTGCTTTGCTTCAGTGCAGATACAGTTCCTATTCGGGCTCTTTCCTGGGCACCATTTCAAAGGTTAGTGGTGCTAAACGTATTCAGTGCTATGATTTCTCTATGTCTTATCCAAAAGAAATCTATATGGTACCTTCTCTAAAATAAAGGACATGTTGCTTTGGGTTCATCATTTGGATTAACTGTGTCTTGTGCGTCTACCTATACTTGTCTTTAATTTTTCTTCAAGAGGCATCAATTGCAATATTCTGTAACTGGTGAAGTTGGTAGCTTCTTAGTTATGATGGCGTGTAATTGTTTTAACATAAGTTGAGATAAGAAAATTGAAGGGTGAGTCAGCGTACGGGGTTTGTTGTGATGTGTATCTTTCACGGCCAACTGTTTTCTTATTGCTTCAAGAATTGCAGTTTATTCAACAGTATGATTGGGATTGTAGCGACTGTCTAAGCTTCTCTTGTATGTTGTCTGGTTTGTTTATTGACCTACTTGGTACAATGTTGTATGCAGTGATTCTGGGAATGCAACTGTTATCATCGCAGCTGGTCACAAGGGGCTAAAATTTTGGGACTTACGGTAAGCCTGTTTCTATATCTTTACGTCCTTTGATAGTCTCATTTTGATTTTTTCCCTTGGTAATTGTACCCTTTTATTTCTGCCTGCTGAAAGAATAGCAATAAGCAGAAAAAGATACATAACGATTTGAAGTAATCCATACACATTCTGCTGTATTTCTCCCCACTCTCAGTCTTCTTAGTATCTTGAACATCAATGCTTTCTAAATAAGAGACGTGCAAGTGTTTTTTTCTTTGCCATGATTTATTGTGCATCAATTTTTCTTTGAAGAGACATATTTTAAATTTTATGTTTGCTTTTAATTAATGTTATATACATTTAAGCTTTATTTTGGCATTATATGCTGTATGTTAAATCCTAGGGCTCATCATACTTTTGTGAACTATATGTCGTACAGGCTCAAGCAGTACTGGGTAATGGGATTAGATCTGTTTTATATTGCTTTGCTGCAGCTTCTAATGAAAAATCTTTATTTGTTTCTCCTCTCACATGCTGATAGCAATTAATATGGACTGCCGACTGTTTAAAAATTGTTTATCCTCAGATTGTGAGAGTAGTGAAGGATGCTTTTTGGTTCTTTTCCTAAGTAGTATCATATGACAAATGTTGTTGGAACTCAATGGTCAACAATGCTATATGACATCTAGAGTTGCCAGTTGGATTGATTTTATTACGGGGCTTTCAAGCCACTTTTAGGATGCAAAGCCTATATCAGTTGTTGCATTTGCCTTTATACATATACACACACACATAATATATGTGTGTGTGTGTGTGTTTTCTTTTTCTTAATATCCTACCTTATATATCTTACAGGGATCCCTTCCATCCTTTGCGGGAGTATAACGTAGGCCAGGGAGTTAATATATGCAGTGTGGATTGGTTGCCAGAGCCAAGGTATGAGCATACCCCATCTAACAAATTTGATTTAGATATCTGCTTTTGACGTCTTTCTCTCAAATTGCATTTGTTCATGTTCATAGATGTATTATAATATCATGTGATGATGGGACACTAAAGATCCTTAGCTTGCCGAAGGCTGCATATGATGTACCTGTCACAGGAAACTTTTTAGTTGGGACTAAACAGCAGGGATTCCATAGTTTCTCTCGGTCTCTACTTGCGATATGGAGTGTGCAAGCTTCCCGAGTAACAGGTTTCAACTTTTGAAAGATCTGTATCTTTTCTATCTGCAAAGATCTTACAGTTTACATAGATTTAAGTAGTGTCAAACGTAAAACCGAGATATTCGTGAATGATCAGACAAGCGTTTGCATAATGACACTGAATTCCTGTTATTTTTTTTTTTGGGGTGGGGTGGGGTGGGGGGGTGAGGGGGGGGGGGTTTACTGTTTCATGAAGCTTCCATCTGAAAGTTTTGGAGAAAGCACGGGACAGTTTATACTGTTTCATGAGCTTTCTGTCTACAACTTGCTCTTTATGTTTTCAATAAGGGGCACCAAGGAGGGGTTAGAAGAGAAGGGACTGCAGCCTCAACTCTCTATGCATAGCAGCACAGCTTGGATGAAGACGAAGGATCAGCTTAATTCTAAGACCGAGAGTGTTTGGGATGGGGGTGTTGTGCTTTCTGAAATACATATTTGATATTGATAAATGAAGTTACATTTTCATTGAACTCTAACTTATTTGCTTGTAATCCAGCCTGATACATTACCCTTTTCTTAAAATTTTTGCGAGCTCTAGGCCTGGTTGCATATTGTGGGGCAGATGGTACAGCTGTTCGGTTTCAGGTGTGTACTGGTTAAGATGATTTTTTGTTAAATCTGTTCTTTTTATGGGTTTTCCTCTATATTCTTCTCTATATCAAATATTTGGAAGGCTCTGGTCGACATTGTTACTGTGGTCGTAGATGTCTGGAAAAGGGATAGAAAAGTTATACAGCAGACATTTTATGCATCATCTCTTGAGTGACAACTGGTCTCCTGCAACTTTCGACCACTCTTGTCTAATTCTCTCTATTAACCACCTGATTAGTCACGAATTCTTTTAACATCTTCACAAAGTGAACACGCCTTTCTCTGTTTATTGTATCTCACTTCGATTATTTTCCGTAATGCGCTCACATTCTTTGATGGCACAGCTTTTTGGCATCTTCATTGACCGACCCTAGTGGAATCCTTTAACTCTTCCAACTTTTGAACCTTCGATTTATCACCAATTAATATCTTAGAAGTTGCTGTTTCAAGTTTCTCTGCTCCTGCATTTAAAGAAGACAATTCTGCATGAGAGTCTGCACCGTCAATAAAGCAGTTGACCGGTCTGAAAATGCATGGTGTACTGCCAACATTAGACTCGTGTTTGTGTAGAATATCCAAATGCTTCGCTGTCTGTGAATTTAACTCCCGATACGATGTGCTAACTTTAACAGCTGCAGTAGCAAGTTTCTCATGGCAGCCCGTTTCTCTGAGTATACAATGTAGCTCGTTCATTCAATGGCATTTTTCTTGAATGATAATGCTTGGTGTGATTGCCTTTGAACATATGTTGTGTTTGACGAGCTTCTGTATCTCTATCTGTATCAGCATGTAAAGAAAACTTAGAATATGTACTTCTTGAGAGGTAAACTGTATGCTTGTCCAATTAGAGACCTTATTTATATTACCATTATACTCAGCTGACTAGCAGAATGGAGAATGATGCTGTGAGGAATCGCACCCCACATTTTCTCTGTGGATCATTTTCCGAGGATGAATCAGGTATCAGCGTTGTTACTCCAGTGCCAAATTCTCCCTTTCGAACGTTCTACTCAGGGAAACAGTGGCGTGATACCATCTCAAGATTTCCACATGGTGTCAATTCAGTCCCAAATCAGGAGAAACGAGCGATGGAGCAATCAGATGAACAGCCTCTGGGTAATATGTTGAACTGCTCAACTGATTTTCATTTACCCACCTCAATTATAAATTTATAACTCCATGATACCCATTCTGAGCATGTTCATCGTGTCATCATGCAGCTCTATGTTATGGCAATGATCCGAACATTGAAGGAGGATCAGATGACGAGTTAGTGGCTCAGAAGAGTAAACAGACATCAAAAACAAAAACAAAAACCACGAGCAAGAAACCGAAAGCTGATGAATGTGATCTTATATGCAATGAAGAAGGACCAACAAGATTGAGAGAGAAACTTGAAGAATTGCCTCCCAAAGATGTGTCGATCAATCGGGTAAGATGGAATATGAACAGAGGCAGTGAGAGATGGCTATGCTATGGAGGAACTGCCGGGCTTGTACGCTGTCAACAGATTGATTTATCGACTGTTTGAATAACTTCACCGGAGGATGTTGATTGTAAGCTTGTATTATTAGTAATTTATCATGTCATGTATACACTTATTTGTGGTTAACCCTCATAGTTTATGTATGTATATTAGCAATTTCAATAGAAGTATTGGGGTTTATCGAGTATTGTCCAGTGACCAAAGCGCTTAGAAATATTCATTGGCAACTCTAACACGTAAGTAACGCAGAGCTTGATAAAACCACAGTTAATGTAAACATCTCAAAAATTGTGCTGACAAATATGATACGCGGTATTATAAATGGAAGATGTGGATACTTGATAACCTAAAAATGAATTAATGAAAGTAAAATTACGCGACACATCAAATATATACACTGTATTTACCATTCATAGCTATACTTTCAACAAATTTATCATTCATGGCTATATTTAAATTTTATAGTAAATACATGAAACAAAAAATCAGTTGTTTTGAATTGAAATAAGAGAGTAACAAGCTCACGTAGCTCAACTGATGAGAGCGCTCACTTAGAGAGCAGAGGTCTTGAGTTCAAACGAATACAGTTGCGTGGACAAATATAGTTGATATAGGTTGTATTCATGATGACAGCTAATGTCATTAATTAGTTAGCTTTATTGGCATATATGTATTGGTCAAATTGGTTACAAAAAAAAAGTTGTTGACCAAGTTCGGTCCCATAAGGTGAGATAATTTGTTATTATATGAAATATGGCCACTAATTCACTTAATCATATTTTCAAGAGATTACGTTAATCTGAAGCGGTCTTTGACTCTACCACTATATAATATGCCTAAACAAGATTTTTGACCAAATCATACAAAAGTTATTGTATAGTCTTCTTTAAAAGGTGCCGTAGTAGAGATAAAATATGGGTTTGTTTCTCTTTCGTTTTCGTTTCTCTTTATATATGAAAAACCTTTGAATGCATAAAGATATTCTTCCTTTCGTTCTATTTTAAGTGACGTACTTTAGAGTACAAGAGTCAAATTTAATTGTCACTTATAGTACTTTTTTCTTTCGGAATACTAGAAAAGTTATTTAATTTTAATAACAACAACAACAATTATGCTTTAATCTCAAATAAATTGGGGTTAACTATAGTCCTTCTCATTAAGTCGGACAACATTATGTTCTACAGCTACAACACTCTGAGGCGGAAGTTTATCGGACCCTGCTAATTTCGTCAAATTTTTTGAACATATAAGTCTGTATATATTAAAAACGGTCATATATTTTACTTGGAACCTTTAATATCCAAAGTCCGAAGGGGTACTGGTGGAACAGTTCGCTCATGTGCCTTCCTCCACTTTTGAATACTGGGTCCGCTTCTAACAACACTTAGTATTTGTTATGAATCTTCACAAGAAAAGGCCCGTATTAATAATTCTGATTTTACTGACCATATTCCTTGTTTAGAATGTGAAATAACGACTTTGTTTAAATAACTTCCAATATGCAGTTGCAAATACTCCATCCTTTAAGGTGGCTGATATACACCACTGTCATTATGTCGAGGATTGCGATGATTTATGTGAAGACCAAGCCATTTGTGTTTTCCATATATATATGCGTATGCGTTCCTAAGACGAGAAAGATTGGGGAAGTTGCATTTGGTCATGGCCTGCCTCCAAATTGATATCTTCCAAATGTTTGATAAATTGTCCAAATGGGAAGAACTGTCATTTCCCGTTATATACATGTTTTAATTGGCAAAATTATGCCGTTGCTATATAAATTGATGTATTAATTAGTTGTCATGTTACCAATGTTACCTTTGGGAATTTTGAGTTCATTGCTGATTTTTGCATCGCATCAAATCATAAACCGCCGCAAAGCTGTTTTCACTCGGTGATGTTTTGTTTATGAGTTTTAACTTTATATGTCGACAGTGTAAAAGAATTTTTACCATAAAAGAATTTTTATACAAGTAACCGATCACAAAAAAGGTAGGTTTATAGGCTGGAAATTAAGACATATTACCTTTTATAACATGTTAAAATACATCTGTGGGTTAACAAATTTTCACACTAACACTATATGTAATTTTAAATCCTTAATCCTTTATTTATAACTAAATAATTTCGTTACCAACTAATTCGGTCTTTTTCTAGATATCATTGAGAAAAAACTACAAAATTATTTGATTTCTTTATATTCTCATCAAAGAAATACGAATTTATAAAGGTTATGGAAAGGCAGGCTCGGAAAGATGTTAAGATCAGTCGGTGTAAAATTAAATTACATACATTAAGTTTGACGAACTAAATATTAAATTTAACAGCTCTTAGGAAGATTGACCTAAAATTTTACCAGCTGATCATGCCTTCGAATGTTGTAGCAGCCGATAAAACAGTAAAGAGAAAAGATAAAAACTAAGCTAAGAAGATAAAATTAGGGCAAAGAGGATAATTTTAATTGATGATTCCAACTCTGCAGGTACAAGGACATATATATGTTTCCACTCTTCACTAAAGGACAAAATCTGATAACTAATAACTCTATAGGACTAAAAGTAAATATCAAGGCATAATTACGTGGGTCCAATTGTAAATACATAAAGGTACAAAATAAACTATAAGGGGACTAAAGTGTAACACCCCAAAACTTATAACCTCTCACCTATTTAACTAATAATAACGGCTAGTTACAACTCTGCAAGCACCACGTACAACCTTCTAAGCCTCTTCTTTTCTAATGCATATCAATTCTCCCCTGTTGAAATCTTCCTTGTCCTCAAGGAAGGAAAGATGGGAAGCATTTCTTTAGAGCTGAGTAATCCTCCCATGTTGCCAATTCCGATGCTCATTCCTTCCATTTAACTAACACGTGCACCACTGCCTTGTTTCCCTTTTGAATCATCCATCTATCCACTATCTTCTCTGGTTGTGGGCAATAGGGGCTGGACAACTTGATGACAGGAGGGTGTGTTATAGTAAGAGGCAATTCATGACAGAGTTTCAGCTCGGATCATGGAAGGTTGGGTGCAGCGGAGCTGGGCATGAAGAGACAAATTATGATCTCAGTACCTTGCTAATAGTTGTTGATACCCAATTTTTCCTTATATATTTTAGTATGCATAAATACCTTCAAAATAGCATATATATCACATATAAGCATGCACAAGGCTTTTATTATTTTGTCCATAATTTTAAAGGTTTAAATTGATTTATTTTTTCCTTTTATTCATAAAATCCCCAATAAATATTTTCCAAATTATTTTTATGATGATTTACTCATTTAATTTCTATACTTATGTCAAAATATGGCTAATATATTTTTTATACATTTTTATAATTACATTTAGTATTTTTTAAGCTAAATTGCATATAATTGCAATGTTAGCCCATTTTAAGGAGTAATTATATTTTATATGCATAAAATTGGTCCCTATATTTTCAAAAATGTTAATCATGTATTTTAAATTATTTTGGCACCTTAAATTATTTTCCAAGAATTACCTACTATTTATTATAAATTAAAATAGGGAAAATTGGCTATTTAAATCATAGCCAAATTTGGCTTTCAATTGTAGCCCAAATTGGACCCAATCCCCAGCCCAATTCCCTATTAAATAACCCGACCCAGACCCTATAAACCCTTACCCAAACCCGGAACCCACCTACCCGGTTGAATCCTGATCGTTGATCTCCCAGATCAACGGTCCACACACGCCCTTTCCTTTTTAATTCCTAAACGACCCCCTAACCCTACTCATTGCCAAAACCCCGCCGCGCTGAAATCCTTTCTGCTCTCAAACACTCTTAACCTAACCTTAGCTTTCAACCGCTGACCTTCTTCTCCGGCCTTCTCCGGCGACCACCTTTCAACCCCAAGCCTCCAATGGGTCTCTCATCGCCTTGCTCATCATCTCTGAGGCCTTCAAGGGTCCTAGGCCATGCCGATTTAGACCTAGGGTTTCTGTTTCTGTCTTTCGTGGCTACTCTGGTGTGATTTTGGGCAAAATCGCACCATATATGTTACGATTTATGGAGTTTTGCAACAGGTTCTCTCGTTTCTATTTGGGTTTCCTTTTTGAAATCCTAACTCTCGTTTGAATCTCTTAGATCTGTGTTATTTTTAATGCTTTAAGTCTGTTTCTTCCTATGATTTGCACTATTCTCGAACTTCTTCTGAAAGATCCTCAATTTTAAACCATTTTGCCTTCTTTAAAAATTAGGGTTTTCTCGGAGTTCCTTCTACGCTTGTTTTAATCAATTTTCTTTATGATTAAACCTCTTTCATTGCTTATTTGGACTGATCCTATGTTCCTACTGTTTTTAACTCGACTCTGTTAAAAGCCCTAACTTTTAAGACCTTTCTTTGCTTTGGTTCTGTGTGTTAGCATGACTACTTGATTTTGTTAAGTTTCTGTTGGTTACCATGCTTCGAATGGATTTTCTACTGAGTCTTTAGCCTGCTTATGTCACTTCTATATGATTGTGTTTGCTCATCTCTTGCTTCTTTCTGTCTATATGGTGTGAGCACGTGATTTTTGCCCTAAGCAAATTAATTCCAAAAGTTTCAAATAATTGATTTCTTTATTATTTTACAATTTTTTGCGAATTTTTGTTTGAGTTTTTGTGTTAATTGGTTGCACTTTTTCATACAAAAATACAGAAAGATATGCACATGCATTTAGGGATTTTAATTTCACAATTTTAGTATTAATTAGGTATTAATTAGATTTAGAAAAAGTTTAAAGAAAAAAAAAAAAATAATAATAATAAATAGTCTTGTTGCACTCTTAATTGTTAATTGTTGCGTTTTATTTCTAAATAGAGTTTTAAGTAATTTTAGGAAGTTCAAATAGTTTAATTGAGTCTTTGTTTTGTTTTAGCATTTTTAATAAAATTAAGAAAAAATGAATAAATACAAAATACAAAAAAAATACAAAAATGAAATACAAAAGAAATGCAAAAAAAGAGGCTGCCAAAATTGGGCCCAAACAGCTGAGCCCAAATAGACCCGGCACCCAAACCGTCCAAGCCCAAATCTCATCCGGTCCAATTGCCCCATACCCAAAACGACGTCGTTTTGACGTCGTTTAATCACAACCATTCATTTCCCACATCTGACGGCCACGATTAGCTCCTAGGATTAAATATAATTGTCTGAAATGTTATACAAAATCAAAACAT